TTTGTCATAAGCACAAATCTAGACTTGACAATAAAGTGGCGGATGCCTTGAATGGTCGATCGTTCCTCCTCAGAATATTGTCTCAAACAATGATGAGTTTAAGTACGTTGAGGACCAATACGCTAATGATCCATAATTTAGTACTATATGGGAGTCGTGTGAGTTTAGTGGTATGGATCCCCCTTATAGGTTTGTTCTCCAAGAAGGATTTCTATTACATGGGACTTGATTGTGCATAATAGAGAGTTCTCTTCGCGAGAACATCATTCTTGAGCTGCATAGTGGGGTTCTTACTAAACATTTTGGTCAGGCTAAAACTAATGCGCTGATAAAGGACAGGTATTTCGGAATTGGTAGAGGTACACTATGAAGCAATGCGTGGAATGTTGTCAAGTTTGTCATGTTTTAAGCCAGTCACAGAAACCAGCCTCCACACTCCACTTCACATCTCAGATGCTCCTTGGGAAGACGTAGCATGGACTTTTTGTTAGGTTTGCCTAGACACGCTAGGAGGTATCATTCCATGTTTGTAGTGTTGGACCGTTTTTGAAAATGGTCCCCCTCATTTCTTGTTAAAATACCACTTATGCTTCTTGTCTCGCTTATCTTTTCTTTAGAGAAGTTTCTCATCGTCATGGTGTACCTAAGCTATTCACCTTTTATTGAGATACTAGATTTCTGGGCATTTTTGGGGAACACAGCAGTCATAACTGAGTACACTCTACAGTTCAGCAGTGCATATCATCCTCAAACTGATGGGAAGACTGAGGTAATCAACCGTAGTTCAAGAAATTTGTTGAGATGTCTTGGAGGTGAGAGGCTGAATTAGTGGGATCTGGGTCTTCCACAGGCAAAATTTGCTTAAAATACCTCAATTATTAATCTACCAAGAAGTCTCCTTTCGAGATAGTATATGGTTACTCCATTCCACATATATTAGACAGTGTTCCATTACCTCATGTGGGGAGGAGTGTCAAAACTAATGACTATGTCTAGCACATCAAGGAAGAACATAAGGAAGTCACATTGAAAGGTTGAGAGCCAATTATTCAAAGAATAAGAAGGCTACATATGAGCATCAACATGCCATATCATTTTCTGTAGGGGGATCTATCATGGTACATTTGAGGTGTGAGAGTTTTCCAAGTAGTACCTACAGCAAGTTGCATCAAAGAAGGTTCGGGCCGTATTGAAATCTTAAAAAGTTAGGTAATACTGCTTACTTCCTACACTTTCCTGAGTACCTTCACATCTCGCTTATCTTTAATATTGGAGATCCTTATGAGTTTCAAGGTGATCCACCTATTCAATTGGATGCTAATTAGTTGGATATTGCCGAGTTACTGAGAGCAACTCAGGATGAGATAGAGGATGTGGTGGATGTTTGAACTGTAGATACACGTAGTGGTTCATACAGGAGATCGACACTCTAGGCCCAATCATTTCGGATAATGCTTGCATCCTTTGTCTTATCATGGCTATTGGCACATAGTTCGCCAATGCTTATTCCTCAGATACCATAATTGCTTTTTCTCTGAGAAAAAAAGATTTACGAACCATGGGTCTTCTACCTCCATGCGGCATTGCTCCGTCAAGCTTTTGCCAATTGCGAAAAATTCCCTATTGCTACCTCGGGTATAATTGGTGGTTTGGCAGGGTAAACAATAAGGAATAAAAAATAGAGTACGATTTACAATCCCATGGGATACAATTGGCTGATAGTCTTACCATAAATATAGTTGCATGTGCAGCCACCAACTATAAGAAATCCACCAAGCCAATTGTGATGCATGAACAACAAAAGTTGTGTACCACAATCAACAACAAGGCATGGATAAGGAGCATTGAATACATAAGACAAATGTTAAAGAGCATAACGCAGCTAGATTAAGAACTAATTAAACATGACATGATGTTTGGTTCATTGGAAAGATCACTTGTTGACTAATTGTTCGTGGATTGATAAGCATGAGTTACAGATGAGACTAGAGGATCTTTATCAACATTGCAAGGAGCCGTACTCGATGGGGTTGAGTTCTTCCCAATCTGAGGAGAATTGATGACGACATCATGTCCTTCTATAGGACCAATTTAATTTAATTTATCTTTTTTTTTAGAAAGTTAATTTAATTTATCATTAAGGGTTTTAGCTTTCTATTTTTATTTTTTTAGAGTTATAAAGGGTTATTTGGGATTTTATTTATTGTAGTTCTTTTCTTTCCTTCAAACCTTTAGTATTCCTCCTCCTTTCTTAATTTTATGTTTCTCCCTTATTTTTCCAATTTTCTCCTTTCTTCAATATTTTGCTTTAATTATAACCCTCCAAACCAATAAACATTACCCATATAAAAAAAATCTCCTAAAACCTTAAAATTAACCCATAGGTTCTCCGTAGAATTAACCCTAGATAAAATCCCTTGGAACCTTATAACTATTTTTTTTGGGTGAGCAAACCTTATAACTAAATTCCAATCTAAGGCCTAAAATTTGTTATACACTGATAAGTTCAAAACCCTAGTGCTATTTCAGTTAACACTTAAAATAAAAAATAAAAAATCTAGAGCTGGTTGTCAAGAACTTCCATAAAAGGGCCGTAACCGGATGCTGGTCCCGCCTACACAGGGTCTCAGGAGGGGTGAGTTGGAAATAATCCTAACCTTTGCCTTTGTATGCACAAAATGGCCGCTCTTAGGACTCGAACCTGCGCTCATGCGCTGGATACCCGAGCTTTTTACCGGCACACCAAGTGACGGCCCCTATCAAGACCTTCCATAATTAATTTAAAGTTATTCTATATGTTCTTCTTTTATCAGAGCTATAAACTAACTTTAAATTTGACTAGAATCCATTTTTTTTTGGGCTGGTTTTGTTTGAGGATAGATTTTTAATTCATTACTTATTTGAAATCTCATCTCACTGATATTAAAACAAATACCTACAATTACATTTTCGTTTTGATTTTCACAAGTTTGTTTATTCAGTTTTTTGGATGATTGCCCGCTAAAATGGTGGATATTAGGCGTTAATTTAATTTAAATTTTTCTCCAAACATCTTTTAGGGTTTTGCAATCAAATATTAGTGATTGATTGTAGGTTATATATTTGATTCAAGCATATGTGATTCAAGAGTACAAATCTAGGTCCATCTAACAGATGAAGCTAACCGGCACACTTAGTGTGCACATCATTTTTGTGGTTTTCATTGCAAAATGTTTGTCCTTGCAAAATTTTTGTGGTTTTCTTTGGTTTTAGTTAAGACAGACTTGCAAATCTTGAATATCTACATAGATACTGGGGTACATCTTGACAGTAATTTGAAGGGGTAAACTACAGGAAATAAGAAGTTTGGATGAAAGTTGGGGACAAAATTTTGATGAGAAATTGTACACCCAAGCAACTCAATGTACAAAATAATAATTACAACTCCCTAAGTTAGGGTGGTGTCCTTTAGGATTTTAGTATACAAGGTTACATTAGGTTTCAGTGTGGTCTATCTATAAGTTATCCAACATATTCATATAGCATGTTGCTTTATTTGTAGTTCATGGGCTTAAGATTCAGCATTGATACTAATTCCCTGGAACTCCCTATATTAATAATACTCGTTCATGACATGTTATTTTCATACTCATTCAGATAGACATGTTATTTTCATGACTGCAAATCATTCTAACAGGAAATGAACAAAACGTTATGCATGTTTCTAAAGAAAACATGGATTTATTATAATGGGTCAAATGCAATGGGTTAAATACAAAAGACAGTTCCAAGATCTAGAACTGCTTCTAAGAATGAGTCATAACCATGACAGCCAATAAAAGACTATGATGACGAGTCATGATAACCACCTAGAAGAAGCTAAAAGCCAGTAGATCATTTTGTTGACCAAATAAACTGATTTAAATTGGCATATTCAGTGTCTATAGTAACGTGTCGAAACATGGTTTCACCAAGAACCAAGCCTATTGAAGTAGAATATCACTTCATATGAGAAAATGTTGGTTAGATAATTATCAAAGCACCTTATCTTTCTTTCTTCTGAGATATCATACCCAGTTATTGTACAATACCTTTTTGGGTGAGTCGATGGGGAGAGAGCCCCTACCCTTGGTAGGAATTGAGCCTAGGACATAGCATTGCAAATTGTCAAGCGCTAAACAATTTAGCCCAGGCTCGAACAAGGCTTTACAACACAAATCATAAGTAGAGAACAATATTATTCAACTTACTGGAAGTATTGATACATGTAGCATATTATTTCCGTATTTTATTTTCTGTTCTGAACATCCCGGGTATGGGACACTTTAGCCATTCTTTATTCGTCAAGTGAGGGATTTTTTCATTCTGGAGGTATCTCTAAATAAATGGTGTTCATGATGTAGAACAGATATGCTTTCTGGGAATTTGCATGCACAGGTTAGGTGCTTTGCGGCTTTTGCCAAAACATGAAAGGGTCAAGAAAGACACACCTGTACTCAATTCATTTGTCCCTATCAAATGAAAAAGATGGATAGCATAGCTGACGCACAAAAAATCTAAAAAGTTTGAAGGACAAACAAAATGTACAATAAAGGCATTTCACTTCGGATTTGGTTTCTTTGTATTTAATTTCTTTTATAGTTCAATATGCTTCCATTATGAAAACTTTCTGCACCCCCAAATACCTTGTGAATGCTTAACAAAAACAATTAAAAGAAAAGTTATTGATGTTAAGGGATAAGGTCTGCATTTCAGTATGCAAACCATTTTTGCAACTCAATAAACTGCTTCCATATATACCACCATTCTCTCCTAAGTTTGTCCATTTGCATAACAAGAAGAGTTGAATATTTATAGACCACAAATAAAGTTTATGTAAATAATCATAGTGAAATACCCGCTATGAGGAGGTACCCTCTTTGAAGAGGATGTTTCACAGATAGGGGCCAATAGTATAAATGTATTTATATTATTGGTCGCTAATTGCCAGCCAAATCTAGTACTTAAGAAGAACAGCACACCGTCAGAGTTTTCTTCACATCTCCTTCCATAGTCCCATAAGGCTTTCGTTGAGGTATTCTTAACAAGAATGAGATGTCCTCCAATGACTCCTGAAAGAACAGATGATTATTCAAACGGGGTTAATATATATATATATATATATATATATATATATATATAAGTGCCATTGATACCAATCAAAGGTCTTTCAAGAGAATAAATAAATCAAGAAAATTTGAGCACCTGCATAGTTTTCATCACTGGATTTGCTGGAATTGCCTTCCTTAAAGCAAGTTCTCCAGTCCTGGGAACCTTGGTGTCAGGTGAATAAAGCACTGCCCTTGCAGGAAGAAGAAACCATGGTTGCAAGTCAACCAGAGCACAAGATGAGATATGGAGGAGAAGGACTGCAGCAACAGACCTTGAAATTGCCTTTATTCCACCACAAAAAACTGGAGAAGTTGAAGTCAATGAAGAATCACATTGATGTGATGATCCCTACATATACAAATCCATCAGAAAGATTAAACCCATCTGTCCCAACACAAACATTTTTAACACCATAACCATTCATAGACGTGCCAAGAACCAGACCCTGAGGTTCGTTACAAACATTTATTCATCGGAAGAGATCCCAGGTTGGGGAGAAACAGTTAACTATACTAGAGAAAAATTTTAAAAATAAAGATAGTTCTCATGGGCATTAAAAATGAAGAAGAATGATAGGGGCGATTTCCAGCAAGAAATGAATAAGGTACCATACTATGTCGTGATACCACCAGAGAGAACATATGACTTTACGAATGCCAAGTTTTGAAGGTATTATGGGTATACGTGAGATATTGTCAACCTTCTAAACATGATGATAGGAGTTTCTTAGTCATAAACACGTGACAAACATAATTATGCTCATAAATTTCCCAAATTTGCTAGAGAAGTGACATATTATTAGCGGAAAAACGATGGGGTGATTAAAGACTTTATACCTAAGCATGAGATTGGATAGCTTGCATAATAAGATCCACTCAAATGGATTGCCAGGTATATATGCTGGCTGAATCAGCAAGAACCACAGTTGTTGTTAACCCATGTAGAGATCCCGCTTCAAAATATTGCTCCCACATTTTGAAAAAGGGATCTTAATTTTTAAGTTTTGGGATCTCAATCCCCCTAGTTTAGAATCATGTTTCCCACCTTAAAGACCAAGATAACAACCATGATAATTTTCAAGCCAACTCCCAACACGTCTATGGTACTAGACCATATATTCTCCAAGGTTAAGAGCAAGATCCCCAAAAGCTTGGGATCGAGATCCCTAACATCTACGAAGTCTTAGACAACTGTGAGATCAGCTTTGCTTTATGGTGCAGAATGTTGCGCGGTCAAGAAGCAACATACCTATATTGAGATAAGGATGTTGAGATGGATGAGTAGCAAGACAAAAAGGAATAAAATTCGAAATGAATACATTCGAATGAGCTTAAGTAAGACACCAATAGGTGATAAGATGAGAGAAAGTACACATCGGTGAGCTAGTAGCGCATACCTAGTACAACACCTACAAAGATGTTTGAGGTAGTTTAAGTGGAAGGTTAAGAAAGGACAAGGAGTAGGCCCAAAAGGAAGGTCAAGAGTAAGCTCAAAAGGATATGATTGGAAGTACTAAGAACAAATATGGGAACTTGACGGTATAGCTTTTAATAAAGCAGAATCGCCAGCCCCAAATAGTTGGAAAAAGGCTATAAGGATACAGATGATAACGTTGACATTATATACGCCCCCCAAAAAATAAAACATTAATTTCACTTCTAAAAGAAACTTTCTAATATATGATGAAGTAAGATAAAAAAATTCAAACAATTTACAACCACCCGCACAATTACACAGCCTTCACGAAACTTAAGCTACAAATTAGCACCCCACCGAACTCCTCTTAATGTTCTAAAGTTATTCACAAAATGCTAATTATCTAGAGTATGATAGAACTCAACATAATGCCCATAATTAATTGCATGATGTACCATCGCCATTGTGATTCATGACTGTTGTACACAGGAAGATGCAGACACTTAATAGTGTTCTGAAACTAAAAAAAAAAATTGAAAGAGAGAAAGAAAGAGAGACTACCAAAATGTGTCCCATGAACACTGGCAGACTCACAGTGGATTTCAATGTACAAGGACTCAATGTGCATAGTCAAAAAAAAAGGACTCAATGTGCAGACCTTGTCAATTTATTCTAGAAAAATAGAAAGATAATGACTGGTGGTTTTAACTGACCTCTGGAGCATCATGATTCCGGCTACAAAAAATCTCCATGGAAATTCTTTGTGTTCTGCAACTTAGCCTCGATGTAAATGGGAGAGGAGTGAATGAAAGAAAAGAACATTTTCTCCTTGCGGGCACAGAGGAACTGTGGACAAAAATGGACGGTGTGTGAGAGGCCATGGCAGTGGAGAAACAGGACCACACCAGCTTCAATTCTAACTGAGACGAGAGCGAGAGAGATGAGCTCTTATCTGGAATCAAATTCCCGGGCCTATCGGGTGGGGAAGTCACTTGGATAGTATGAATGATCTGGGCCAACGTTCCCAAAACGCTGCCGGTCCAACTCGGAACCTGCTGGTTAAATCGTATTCGGGAAATATGGCTGAGGCCGGTTTTGGTAGTCCGGAAGAAAATGTAAAAATTTAATTTCAAATTCTAAAAAAATAAAGAATTTGTTTGTAATGTGTTTTTGAATGGTTTATATCATTTTCATAAAATTTGGAAAGTGCTTTAGTTATAAATGTTTATTGTTATATTTTTTATTTTTTAAAAAAATTTCAAAAATACGTTTGGGCACAAAACATTTTTTGAAAATCTTTTTTTTTTATTAGTTTTCAACTTCATTTGAATAATCATGCTTATATATAGGAAAATGATGAGATTGGCCTTCTAACTCATATCAACATATGAGCCTAATGGTCTGATTAAATTTGAACTGATTTGACAGTTAAGATCTCATTTCGTATATTAATTTTAATTTTTTTTTTCTATGATGTTAAATCACTTGAAATTTAGACGTATATTTTTAAAAAATAGGAGAATCTAATAAAAATTTCAAAAAAATAATTTGTAATAAATAAATTGACCAAAATACCCCTAAAACTTTTCGGGGGTACTTTGATTTTTTTTTTTACGAATTATTTTTAAAATATGTTTATTAGATGCGCCGTAATAAAAAGAATCGAAACCTAAAATTTCAAGTTATTTAGATTCGTGAAAAAAGTTAAAATTAAAAAAAAAAATGAAATCGTAACCATCAGATTGGCCCATATTAAATTTGGGTCATTTGGCTTGTTGATATGAGCTAGTGGGCTAATCTCAATATTTTCTCTATATATATATATATATATGTGTGTGTGTGTGTGGGG